GCTGCCAAGATGTAACATCCTCTCTACACGTAATGCTTCCCAGAATTTCTCAGTTTTCGAGTTTGAACAGGCATGGTGGTTGAAAACCGTACAGGACTAGATTTGATATCAGTGATGACTTGGAACAAGTGAAAAGTAACCGGCGAGCATCTTATTTGTATGGAGGCACATTTCCTTTGATGTCTTATTTGCTGCTTGTAATCTGGAATCTTAATCGGTTATTAGCTTCTGAGGTACCGGCGTGATTGACCACAAAGACTGATTTTGTCACCTTCCATTCTTGAAACTCTATGATCGGGGAGTGGGAGCTTGGGACAACAAATAGGAGCAGCTTTTGGAGGGTGATTGACAGTACCAAATCATTGACGCCCTTTCTCCGAAGTTTTTTGGCACTCCAGATCACCAGAAGAAATCGAATGAACTTTCACCAAACCGCCCTCAAAGTTTCTGTTGCAATAAAAAGCCACAGATAGGCCCTTCTGCTGTACACAAGACATGCTGCATGCGTACAACACATATTGCAGATATACATCAATATCACGAACAATGACCTTTCATAGTGTCTCATGGTGTTATCCCCCACCTCACTTTTCAAATTTTTTTGGCCTGGCAAGTCTTACACCTCCACCTTGCCCCCTCCAGATACCGGCGAAATTAAGGCAGATGGAGGAATTCATCCATACAGGCCAAACTAATAGGTTGGTAATTTCGAACAACACAAATCGAATCATTTTAAAATAAAAATGTTGAACATTTCCTATTGTCTTGAACTTGGAGACGGTTTTGAAGCGTCGTATGTTTGCTCGCGAGCTCATTATTATTTTGTGATCCCACTTTTTGTTTTACAATAAGATGTGCCATAATCACGAGGGATCATAGAATTATTTTATAAATCCAGAATTTGGGATTGATAGTTTCTAGTTCAGAGTATTTCTGTCACAAAAAGCCCCACATTGCGGGCCTATTTTGGATAGAGACAGGCAACTACATTCAGAGTGCATAGTTTTACTACATCTGGGGATATCTTCGGAATAAGACGAATTAAAAAAAATTAATAAAATTGAAATGAAAAGTGACCGATCTGGCCATATCTTGAATTTCCAGCGAAAAAAAATTATCTTGAATTTCCAGTGAAAAAATGAAGGCCAATCTCTTCGCTAGGTTCATAAGTCGGCGCTATTTCGGTCAACAGGTGCGTATTTGGTGTAGTGCAACCACAAGACTCCGTGGGTCCGAATTGACTTGAGGTGGGTCTGAGTTGGTTGTGGGTCCGAGATGGTAGTGGGTCCAAGTTAGTATTTGGTCCGAGTTGGCATGGGTCCAAATTGGTCCTGGGTCCGAGTTGGCGTGGGTCTGAGTTGGAATGGGTCCGCGTTGGTTTGGGTCCGAGTTGACCTGATCCCTCTACTGGTACAGGCACTGAGTAACACTAAAGCGAGAGTCATGACAACTTCATTGTCTTACCTATTCGTTCTTCCACAGTTTTCATACAGATGACATTTTGTTCTTTGCTAGTAGGGTACTGCAGTAAAATGAAAGAAATCTCGGGCAAAAGTAACTTTACACGATCGCCCGCGCCAGTCAAGACAATTATTTAAAACTAATAACAGCATATCGCACGATGCACAGGAATAGTCAATGAGAAAAACAAAAGTGGACTTCTTACATTAACCATGTTTACTAACCTTCGTAAAATGTGTCCTTACCACCAGATCAAACGGAAATTTATACACATGATTAATAACAATTTCAAACATGTTCACTTAACAAAGATCGTGACATGGATCCTCGAGATCCAAGCATGGAGGAAGGAAAAGACAAGTAACGTTACAAACGTATGCACAAGACGCGAGGGTGTCTGGGCACGTATGGTCCGACTACTAGTTCTGCTGTCGTGCAACTACGGTTTACGGTGAGGAAATCTTGGATGTTCAACTTTTGAAAATGGTCGTAGTCAAGCAAGAAGCTAATCTATTTATGAAATATCTGGGTTGTGATGTAATTACAAATATTATGCCATTTCTTTTATTTACTACGCACATGAACATGTATGTACGGCACGCTTGCTTAGAGCAAATTCCAAGGTTACATAACAAAACATGCCGGGGTCAACATGCTGACCCCTAGCAGAAATCATGAAAATGAAGGAATGTCAGTGCTGACATGCCAAGTATTTTCATTCCTCCATTATCTGCCAAAATTGAAAAAAGACCCAACTATTATGTGACAAAATTCAAATTCAGGCGTTTTCATTTCATCAATAAAACGCATGAAGCAAAATCAATAAATGAGTAAAATCCTTATCCTAACATGCGATGGAATTTTTAATCAACTATTGAGGGCGCTGTTTCCTTGAGTTTGGGAAATGCAAAAGATGGCAGACGACACTACGAACGTGTCAACACCTGACTCCGACGTGAAACTTCTGAAAATTGAGGCGAAATCTGCTGTGAACGAAGTTAAATTTGCTGTGAAATATGTGGAGATATCGGAAAGGCTTTCTAACACGGATGAGCAAGCTTACCTAAACGTAAAGACGAAGGAAGGAGATGAGTTCTGTGTGGAGTTGACAGTTCAAGGATTCCGGGTAGGTAGCCCTACAGTACCCATGAGTACACGTACACGTACATGTACGGTAATTTCATTGAACAGTGTGCGATGATACCACGTGCATGACATGTCCTGCATGTTGCAAAAGGCCTACCAGTACAATATGTGCCAGTAAAGTAGTACTACTGAATCTGAATCACAAACTTGGCAAGGCATCCATCAGGAAACTCACATCAACTTTCAGACATTATTATTATGAAGTGGCTATCGTTACGACAGTCGTAACTCATTTCTCATTTTCTGTCGTTATGGCACTGAACTGCACAACTGCGACGACGTAGCTGATCACCACGATGGTTTATATATTTTAAAATGACCTGGATTGCTGAATGCTTGTGGCCGAGTGGTCAAGGTGGAAGGTTGAATCTGCGCTTGGACTATTTTATTTTTTTTGGCCTAAATTTCATATTTTATACCATAGGCCCCGTAATGTTTTTTATGTTGGTTTCTAATTGTAAAGGCGTAAGCAGGAATCTTTTTTTCTTTTTTTCTCTCATCAGAGGCTTTGGAAGATTTTGTTTAAAGGAAAATAAAGTCCAAAACCTGCGCTTAAGTTGGCGTGCTTGAGCAGTTGCAGTGCCGTAACGATAGAAAATGGGAGATGCGTTAAGGCTGCCATAACAACAGCCACTGCATTGTTATTAATCTTGACACCAAGGATTCCTCTAATGTCAAAATTGCCCTACAGCTACATGTAGACCTAGGCACTGTCATGTACATACACGTGTAGCTTGCAAGCCTGAAGAAGCCTACATTGGAGAGGAAACAAAGAGAAGCAGTTACAGTTTTAGAGGTGGGAGGAAAACCCCAGAGGTATATTCTGGGTAAAACCAGGTAAACCCAATCCACATGTGGACCGGACCTGGATTCGAACCCAGACTGGCCCCGCAGAGGTGGAAGACGAGTAAAGAATCACCACGCCAACCTGACTCCTCTGTCACTGACTGTACATGTAGAAATGTGTCACAATGGGTTTTTTGATCATGTACATGTGTAAGGTTGCCTCATGTATTTTTGTGCAAAGATTCTGCAAAGTTTTTCCACATCCTCCTTGCTACATGTACATGTACCTATATACATCTAAAATGGGACATACATGTGGAACACATTACATTTTCTTGTATGGTTGCCAAGAGATTATATATCTTATATATTCTTAAAAAGTTCAATGCCCCCATTGCAAATCTTGTCACTATTTATCTGATGTACATTAGACCTCTTCTTGAATATGCCTCTCCGGTGTGTTCAAGTTCTCCGACAGTACAGCAATCTCAGTGCATTGAAAGAATGATTGAAAGAAACCTGCCTGCCATATAATTCTTGGTTATCCTAATTATTTTGAATATTCAGTTACCCTCGATTATCTTCAATTACCATCCTTGGAACAATGGCGTTTTCAGCTACTTGAGAAATTTGCAAAGTCCCTTGTCGGATCCAAGCATATGTCCATGCTTTCCCCTTCTCGTAATTCACAGAACAGTCTTACTCTTAGAAATGCTAGTGGGCTTTGGTTCCCTTCTGTCGTACTAAGCAGATACCAAAAATCATCTACATGTATTCCACACATTGTTCACATCATAATTTCTTTTAAGCTTGTTTAGTCCCTGTATATACATGTATCTATCCTTTTAATATTTTATTATATAATTTGTAATCCAATCTCTATAAATTTTCGAATTTCTGTATTTGAGAACTATTAAGCTAAAATACTGTAAGTAAATAAAAAACAGAATGTGACAAAGGCGCAAAGGGGTCATACTGCCTAAAATGGTGCCAGAGAGTGCCTAGAATCCAGAATATCCTAGGGCCCTTAAGCAGGCCCTTGGCCCACACTGCAAGGGCCTTGTGCAACATGCTCATGGGCATTACACCATGGCTGTTTTAGTTCATGCCCCCCCTTTTAGAAAATCCTGGATCTGCCCCTTTCTTCCCCAATAAAGCTGACAAAACTGCATACCAGTACATGTATTTCTTTACATCTGATGAACTACAATGTATGGCTTTAAGACCATGCAACTATTTCTTGAAGAAAGATTGAAGCTTTTATTCACCACCCTAACACATCCAAACACATGGCACACATTGCGTGCACCACACAGTGTGTGTGCAGCAGGTTGATGTAAACTTTTGATGTAAACTTTTGGACATACAATGTACATGTACTTCGTCACTGCATATTTGAATGCATGGTGTCCCCGACATAGATTTTTGCATTATTCATCAATTGCAATACCCAAAACGTGTGAATTACACTCTGAATTTTGTGCCATAGCATCCATGTAATCTTATAATTTGAGAGAATTCGTAGAGCTACATGTACATGATGATGTATGAAATATTTTTGGAGATTGGAACAACATAATGGTCTTTGTGAGACAAAACCAGCAAATTCTAATAAATTCTTCCCATGAAATAAAGCATTGAGGATGTATTTCATTTTGCGTCCTTCCTCAACCCTAATGTCCTCAATCCTCCAATTTCAATATGATGTGCCGTTATTATACCCTACATCCGAGAGGGTTAGAGTTAAACTGCCCTTGTAGTACATTATTTGTACAGATGTACCTGTTCTGGTACATACATGTACAAGTATGTACATGTACATGTATGTACATGTACCCGTGGTTAGACAAGTTATAGAGTGTATCTTTACATGGGTACATGTACAGGTACATGTACATGTATACACCCAGTGATACAAATCTGCCAAATTGTGATTGGCTCCACAAACATGGGTATTATGGGATATTTTTATTTCAAAATGAGTTACATGTACATGTACATTTGAATTGGTTACCAGTACATCAAAAGCTTTTTTAGTTTTAGCTACCGGTAATTTAGTGTAAGTTTGAACCTTGCATGTGGCATTTTGCATTCTGGAGATACATGTGTTGATTTTTGCATAATTATACATGTACGTGTACATGTACACTACCTGTACCATACTACATGTATTATGAATGGTTTATTTATTTTAACTGTATTCCTCGCCGCCAGGGGCAGAATTGTGAATACAATTTACATGTACATTAAAACAAATACATGTAAATATACAATAATATGTACAATTACAAAAGAAAAGGGTATTAAAAAGCTAAAAGCCTTAAATTTCTACAAAGCCTTGGAGTAAACAGGGACATTATGATCAATAATACTTTCTAAAAGGGTTAAAATTAAAATGACAAAAAATTGAATCAACGGAAATCAAAATTTATTTACAAACATTAACAATGTACTTGGACAAAAGGGCGAAAATACAGAAAGGGAAGAGGAAACAACACATATAGGGCTAAGGAGGGTCAAAAAGGGGGAGGGGGTAAGGGGTAGGGGGTCAGGAGGAAGAGCGATCAAAAGGAAGAGGAGGGGGATCAAAACACAAAATATTACAAAGGGAACATTAGCTAGGGNCTGAAAAAAAGAAAGCACAGGAAAGGTTTTAAAAAGGCAGCCAGCCAGTACAGGGCGCCCTCATCAATCGAAATTATTATACATATTAAAAGACTTGCTTTCAGAGATAAAACCCTTTTAACATAGGAAGTGGAAAAAGAAATCAGCCAAGAAAGTCCTTTGGTACCCACAGCAACAGTTAGGTTTCTTGTATGAATTGTGAAAGTACTGATAACAGAAGCCAATAAACCAAGAAGTAAAAAAATCACACTGTCCTCATAAAAAATCCCTGTGTGTGAAAAAGCAGTGTCCCTTAATACCCTTTTTCGCCGAGCAGGTCACAATTATAGTTGTTCGCTTTCTATCCCATCCTTGTCAGGCTGCCATGGATCAATTCTCCGACTTTGATGACCCAGAGATCAAGCCTAGAAACTGTACAAGGTGTATGGAATGTCTTGTGAAGGCCTTTTATATACATGTATGTGTACATGTACATATACATGTACATGTATGAAAAGAAAATCAGGCTGTAGAGAGATACATGTACTAGTACCAGACTGCAGCATGACACATACCGGTGGTTACATACATGTACATGTACATTAAGGCCATGTGGCACCTTGAAGTTCAACATTTGCTCAATTTTTCAACCTCTTTCTTCAAACCTACATTGTACATGTATACATGTACTGATAAATGTAGCATAAATTGAAAAATTACCTTTGCAGGCTCAATACTTTTCTTATTGACACCATATTTTATCATTTTAAATGCATTTTATGGATAGAATGTCGCAGTCTGTCCAGATTTTATGATTATTGACATTGACTGTACATGTATGTTTGTTAAGTACATGTACCCATAAATATAGCGGTACACGTGTACATCATGGTACAATATTACACTGTACACTGTATGTAGGCACTGTGAGTGTGCAAGTACAGTGTTCCGGTACATCTACATGTGAACATGTACAAATGTATGCTACATGTACATGTAAGGAATGTTGGACATCTCGTACCTGGGACAATTCGTACCCATGACATCTCGTACCCAGGACAATTTGTACCTGGGATAATTCGTACTCGGGACAACTCGTAACCCAAGAGAAAATTACATACTTTCAGCTTGTGGAGACATCAATTAAATCAGATCTTCAATTAAAGTATGAAAACTAAGTTTTTGAAATTATTACGGAAGACATTGGAAAACAATTGAGAAAGAAAACAAAACAAGGAAAAGCATTTCACAAGGACCTAATACATGTAATATTGCTCTCTTTTTAAATATCTGTTGGTCTAAACAGAGCCACCTGTTACCTGCCAATTAATTGCAGACATTGAATCAATCTCTTTTTGGGAATATGTGTGGCTCTGAAAAGAATCGGTGGTTCTGAAAAGAGTTGTTTGGTTTGTTGAGGACACAGGTCCGGTCAGGTACTTGCAGGCCACCAGAAACCTCGAAGTTTTGATATCCCCAACCAGGTAGTGGTCCCACAGTTGAAAGAGGCGCCCCTAGACCATCCGTACTTGTCTTCGCTGGTGTCGCTGAATCCTGGCTTCCTTGACGAGCTTCATGTGGAGCTTGACCAGTGATGCCTCTTGGTAGGGCAGCTTGATGATGCCGTACAGCTCTATGTTGTGTTGCCCCGCTCTACTGTTGATCATCCAGTGCAGCCTTTGACGTCATTGTTTGTCTGGACGCTCCTTTTGAAAACTGACCAGTTTCCCGGACCCCATATGGTACTCTCCAGCCATATTGACCCGATGTAGCTGCAGAGGTCGAAGAGGGAAGGTGTGGTGGCCGCCTCTGCCATTATGTTGAAGGTAAATGGGATGTGTTTGCCAGGCAGAAACGGTAATGCCAGAAGCCCTCGCATGTATACAGTGTATGTAGCTGTGCACAGCGTCATCAGTACTGTATGGCACTTGAAGACCCAGCTCTTGGCACTTTCTCCAAACGGCCTGAGTCCAATGGTAGAGGTACCCCTTGACCTGTACATCAAAGAGGGACCCAATAGCTGACCACAGATATGCCTCGAAGTCCACCACCATCTCAAGGACGTTTGCAGCCAATCGCTTCTTCAGCGCCTTCAGAACCTGAATAAAGAAAAGCGACACATTATTAAATAAAAATATATTGTAATTTTCTACTTAATTGCATTAGAAAGCAATTAAGAAATTGAAGAGAGTCAACTTTCCAGTTTTTGCTTTAGAAAATAATTAAGGACTTGAAGAGAGCCACATGTCCATTTTTTTTGGATTACACAACACTCAAGAAATCAAAAGATTTTCGAATAGTTCATTTGGTTAAGGTAGGAGCCAGTGAGTAAATAGGTAAATGAATAGACAGCTTTTACCTTCTTGTAGTCCTTCTTTGTGCGTCTGGACATCATGGCGAATGCCAGTGGAACCTGCTTCATCACACCAGTTTTGCCTTTGATGAATGCATGCACTGAGAAGAGCTGGCAGAATGGCTTCTTCACCAGTTTGAACGTGCCGTCCAAATACCACGTCTTCGCCTTGTCCAACAGCTGCAATTGTTCCTGCATATAGAAAATCAGATGTCTAGCAGTGCCAACCTCGACATCCTTCTGGAAGAAGTCATCCGGTAGAAAGTCGGTCGCTACGTCAAAGTCGAGGTCGGTTTCGCTCAGGAGGGTGCTGGCTCTGTCTGGTTCTGTTAGCTGTTCTCTTGAGGTTTACTGGGTTGGGACAGGAGAAGGTAGCTGCCGTGGGGTTTTAACCGAGACGGGGCATCTCTGCCGTCTACCCTGGATGCTGCACAACCAGACGAACTGCTGGTTGGTGGAACTGGCCGGCTTCCACTTTCGGTTGTACATGTACGTGTAACCCTGGCTGTCCACAAGTAGCACTTTGCCTCACTGCGAAGCCCCGTCTAGAATTCGGAAAACTACTTCTTCGTTGTCGCCAATGCCCTGCAAGTCATGGATTGCACATATCACACTGGTCGCACTGGAATGCCTGCTGATTGCGACGAGCTGTCTTCTTACAGGAGATGCAGGGGTGCTTCGATGGCATCTTGACTCTTGAGTTCTTGAAAATGGGTTCTTGAAAGCTGACTTGGACAGGCCTCGTCTAGATATATGCAGTTGTTGGATCACATGCTCATTTATAGAAAACCGGGGGATTCGTTGCACATGCCAATCCACCAATCATATTCCAGATTCCCCCTTTTTTCTATGAAGAGCCGCCTTCCATGAGCGGCTTACAGGTGTACGCTTCAGCAGTTGCAGAGCGTGTGTGGGGTGGATATGATTAAAGGTGGTGCGGCATCTTTAGAACCACTGATTAGAAGGCACTCAAAAGGGCTTTACAGGGCATGATCGTGATTGACACACATTTAAAGAAAAAAAAAACCTTCAGGCAAAACCCTCTGATTAGCAAGTATTGTTTGGGTAAATATGGTTCCTGTCAACACTTGTTTAATTTCTTCCGATTATTTCTACTCTTCCCAGGCTCCGCCACAATCACCGTGCAAAAATAAATCAAACAATGCTACAACCTGGAATAAACATGTTTATTCGTGAAATTCGTTATTCGTAAATCCATAATCCCCATTCATGCCATTTATGACTTTTTGAGATATAGGCTTACATACGAAAATAAGAGAAATGCATAGGCTTTCCAGTGATACCACATTTATACTCGTAGGCAACAAAGCAAGGTTTTGGGGATCATTCCTCATTTAGCCTCAGCAGGTCACATTTTTCCAGGTACGAAGTGTCCCAGGTGCGACATGTCCCAGGTACGACGTTGTTTCGGGTATGAGATGTCCTGATATCCATGTATAGTACCGGGTATTAGTGCATTTGTTGAATTTTCTTTTATAAACAGTATTGCATTGATTTGTAACATGTACATGTACTTGGATGAAACAATTTACAATGTTACATGCATACATATACGTCAACATACATACAAGCAGTGTACATGTACATGTACATGTCTGGCAGTTCTTGCTGGAGTACATGTGCTAACATATTTACGTGTACATGTACATAATATAAAGGTTTCCCTCTCTCCTGTCTCATCCTTGGGCCTGTGGTGATGCATAAAGAAATGGTATGTACATGTATTGAAGTACAGATACATGTACATGTGTCTTTTGTGAAAATAATATTTTAAGCACTTGTGCAGCTACATGTATACATTTACTTTACTCTTTAAGCTGGAAAATTTTAAATACAATGCCAAAAATGTTCTCTGCATACATGTACCGGTAAACATTTTGCAACCACAAACTTTTTATAAAGTGCTACACGTCTGTGTACATGTAAATTCAATTTGAACTCACTAGAAAGTACCGGTAACAAAGTTATCTTGGCAGCGGTAAATACAGATTTATCTGTGTGTTCCTTTACCATCTTCCTGTTTAAATTGATACATTGTCCAAAGGGAGATTTAAAAGTTGAAGGATAACTCCATGTGGCAGGAGGAGGTTTAACTCAACATCTTATTAGATATTCATCTACATGTATGGTAAATCACCATATTGTACAGGTAGCTCAAAGCATGCATAACAGAAGAAAGCAGACGAACTTTGTTTCTGTTCATGTGTGAATTTAATGGGAGCTGTTGCATGTTATAAATTGGCTTATCATTATGTGATGAGATAACTCAAAAAGCTTTGTGACAACTTGTAAAACCTGAGAGGAAACTGAATATTGGCACTTACCATACATTTGCAGGAAGATTAGTCTTGCAAGAAATGCTTTATTTCATGTACCGGTATGGTAATGTACAATATACAACGTACATGTACATTCATGTACATTATGTATGGTAGGTTAGGGTATTTACCTGAGTGATGTTACATGTACATGTACATTTGAATGTTTTGATGGAATGTGGAGGCTTTACTCTTAAGATACAGATGTACATACATGTACATGTACATGTATGTTTGTATGTACACCTACATGTACCGGTACTGGTAATTATAAGAACAGATTTTATTCTAAATATGATCTCTTTTCAAAAATACAATGTACATAAAGATCTTTATACTGGGAGGTTGTATGCACACTATACTTATCACAATCATCTTGTTTTCCTTTTCAGTTTGTACGAGTACATGTACACGTACTGGTGTGTTCTCAAGGAGGGGAGGGGGTACTGGTGTTTTCTCAAGGAGGGGAGGGGGTACTGGTGTTTTCTCAAGGAGGGGAGGGGGTACTGGTG